TGGTGACGACACTGGTGACAAGGTTGGTGACGACACTGGTGACAAGGTTGGTGACAACACTGCTGATAACACCGGGGATAACATCGGTGACAACACTGCTGATAACACCGGGGATAACATCGGTGATAACATTGGTAGAGGGGACCTCACCAGCAGAACGGAAAAGCCGAAGAGCCCATTGAGGGCCAAGAAAGTTAATCAGAGAAGAGTAATCCGTGTGAAGAAAGAACCACGGGGCAGAGCCAACCAAGCAGAAATTGAAACAAGGACATGCAACATATGCAACGCTGTTTTTGCAAACAGCAAATTAATGCACAGACATGTGATGAGTGTCCACTCTGACGAAAGGCCATTCGAGTGCGACATTTGTCTCAAGCGGTATAAAAGAGCAGACCACTTGAAGCTGCATCGCATAAGACACGACCTAAACAAAGAGGAGAAGAAGTTCCAGTGCTCCATCTGTCAGATGTTCTTTAAAACGCCCAGACAGTTAAAAAATTGCAAGTTGAAGCATATGAGGTTTTCCATGGGTAATAGGTATGACGGCGAGTGGGCGACGAGGAAGCAAATGGAAGACGCTGTCGGAGGGGTAGATAACAATTCGGAGGGCCATCCAGACGAAGAGGAAAACCACGAGAGTGGTAAGACAATGCAAAGCGGTGAAGAGCATGTTGAGGGAGAAAGACACAATGGTGATAGCGAGAACGGTACATTGAGAGGCGATAATGCCTCAGAACATGCTGGCACTGAGCTCAGCGCGCAAGGGGAAGAAGGGGATGATCGCCAAATTGTACCTTACGAGCAGCAGGCGAGCGCGGAACAGCTGCAAATTGTACCTCACGAACAGCAGGCGAACACGGACAAGCGCAAAATTGAAGCCTCTGAACAACAGGCGAACGCGGAACAGCGGTGGGAAGTAAAGAGGGAGAACTGCAGTCCAAGTAGAATTTCTGTTGAAATTCGAACGTGCAATGTGTGCAGTATGATTTTTGCAAATAAAAAATTAATGAAAAGACACCTAATGAGTGTTCATTCAGAATCAAGACCATACAAGTGTCACCTATGTATAAAAACGTACAAGCGGTCGGATCATTTGAAGAAACATATTTTAACCCATAAAGATAATAAAGAGAAAATAAAATACACTTGTTCCATTTGTCAATCTAGCTTTGACACTCCTAAAGAATTAAGAGCGCACAAGATAAGGCACTACACATGTCCATATGAAAATTGCTCCTATTCCTATTCGACCATTTCTAAAATGAAGTACCATTTGAATAAGCACAGATGTAACCTCTTCTATAGTTGTCCTGTGTGCGCCAAAAAATTTCTCATTTATAAAGAGTTCATACAGCACAAGAGGAGCTGCTTCAAGAAGAAGTACGTCTGCCTGCAGTGCAACAAAATATATTTGCATGTCAATGGTTACAATAAGCATGTACGGAAGGTTCATTTGAATATTGTGCAGAACTACAAATGTACTGTGAACAACTGCAACAAGGAATTTTCTTCTGAGTTCAGCTTGAAGGAGCATATAATAAATTTCCATCATCGGGTCAAGCGTTTTTTCTGCTCCAAGTGCAACATGTCCTTTGGCTACAGAAGCTCCTTTCGCCGTCACAACATTAATATACACCCGTGAGAAGGTTTTATGCAAACGGTGAGGGAGGTGATGCGGGCGTGGTGAGGAAGCTGTGAACGATTTGTGGAAGCAACCGCGTAACTCTAGCGCAGCGTATTTTGGGATCCCCTCAAGAGCGATCCGTTTCTTGCTTTAAAATCATATGAGCAGCAGTGCTTTTCTCCCTCACCTCCTCCCCCCCTTCAACACAATGTACAGTGTCCTAACCCACCATGATAAAGGGTGGTGTCCCCCATATGACACATGTAAACCCTTTTAACTCACGTCGAGCCTTTTCTTACATAATTAAATGAGAAGCAGAACGCTTTAAAATTCCTGTGTTGTGTTATTCCCGCACAGGAACATATTGCAGCTGCTATTGATACCTGCCTACACAAGTGCCCAAGTTTTATATGCTTGTATGTTTGTGTCTGATGGAAAGGTGCCCCAAAATAAGTTGCCAGCGTTTTCGCCAGTCATATTTGTATTTTTTTTTTCATCCTTTTATTACTTTATTTTTTATTTTTCTTCATTTTAACGAGTTGCCTACACTGATGATAACCATATATATCTGTGTCTGCATCCGGTGTATCAGTAGATGATGTTTACACACCAACTTATGTTCTGCGCATTTCCTATGCGGATTTGTTAAGCCAACATTTTTTTCATTTTTGTACCACTGACACCCGTTTTGTTCGTGTCAAACAGATGAACATGAGTTTTTTTTTTTTACCTCCGTGTAACGGGGGTTAATCACACAATTATCTTTCGCGTACACATGGCGCGCATTTTCCTACTTTTAAAAAAATTATATTCAAAATGGTGCAACCACACTGGGGGGGGGAAATATTTCGTTTTTGAGTTTTACATATGCAGGTGCAAAAAAATAAAAAAAGTCACGTGATTTGACAAGTTAAAAGAGATAAGGATTCTTCACGAGGGGCAAGGTTTTATGCACAATTGGGCTTCACTTCTGTTCCGATATGAATGGGTTGGCGATTTCTTGCGTGCCGTCTACTGGCGTTATTAGTGCGATCTGCCAAAAAAGGGGGGGAGAAAGTGGAATGTAAACAAGAGGAAAATCTTCACGCAATGGAATGGGATACAATAATAGGAGGCAATCTGACATGGTAGTCAAACTGGGCAGTCCAATGTACACCACGTGGCAGACTCCTCCCAGCATGAACACACATTCTGGGAAAACGACATTACCGATGTCCCTCTAGCGACGACTAAACCGATACTCCTCGTTTTCTCCGTTATGACCAAGCTGTCATTCGGATCTGAAAAGGTGCAGAAGTGAGCCATGTGTAGGTGAATTTGGTATGCTATGCTTTGTTCTTCTTTACTTTTATTTTATTTTATTTTTTATATTTTTTTTGTTGAAACTGTTTTATCCCGTTCTACCTCTTATATATTCCTCAGTTTTGTCCAGCACTAAGTTGAAGATGGCATCGTGGCCAATTAAATTGCCAACAACTGCGTGGAAAAGGAAAACGGGAGAATTATGACATGAGTTGCTCTGAGTGTCTCAAACAATTTGTATGTGTTTCAGTGTGGGTATGAAATGGAGCGAAGGTTCTGTTTTATGCACACCAGTACATAAGTATGTAAGTACGTAAGTATGTATTCAAAGTGGTGTGTATTTTTTCCCATTCCATGCGGTACTAACCTTCTCTTCCACCATCAAACTTGACGCGAATCTTTTGGTTCATAAATTTCTTGATGTCTGTCATAAACTTGTTTTCTTTATTATATGCTGGGGTCGTTGGAAGCACCGACATTTTGCTGGCAGCGGGTGGTGGAGCAGAGATGTGATGTGGGGTAAGGGGCGATTTTGTTGTAGGGGGTTCGCTGCGTATTCCTTTTATACTTTGCTGCCGTTCACACTGATGTCCACGCTTCTCTTTGCGTAGCTTTTGTTCTGCCTACTCAAAACAAGTCTGTTTAAATTAGAGGGACGCACAACGGGGTGGGGAATCTATTATCATGGAAACCTCGTCTTACATTGATGTGATGAAAAAGGAGTGAAAAGGAAGGGCAAGAAAAAAAAAAAGAAAAAAATGCCTTCCTTCCCTACAGGATTTGCACTCAGTCGTTTCGACTTTAACTTCGCAGGGTTGTTGTGAAATTGAAAAAAAAGAAACGGAAATAATTGTAAATTGTACTTTGCCGTGTTACCTATGTTCTGGCCAATGTTATCGCCCAGAATTGTGGCAGTTTGTCATACAAATGTGGATCCACAAATTCATGCCAAGCTTCTTTTTTTCCGTTCTTTTTTTTTTTTTTTTGCTGCCTTGTGGAGTTATAAGGTATTGCAGTAAATTCTCACAGCGTACATACCCACTTCGCTACTTCACATCATGTTAAATCAGATGATGTGCTCTTAATGGCAAAGAACGCCTTTGTATGTTTCTTAATATGAGCTCAGAATTACAGCACTTTTTTTTTTTTTTTTTTTATGAGGTATGTGGGGAAGCCTTAGCCCGGGTATTCCACTATCCCTAAATTAGCACCACTATCCGGCCACGCTATTTTTTTTTTTTTTTTCCGGCACAAATATAGTATACCACCATCTTATTAGAAATGTTGCAACGTTGGCTTGTGTTTGTTTTTTTTCTTATTTTTTTCCTTTTGTGTAATTCCTTTTTTGTTCTATAGCATCCGTGGGCCAAGGTGAAAAGGTGCCACTTTGCGCCCGCATGTATTTGCGTTGTGCATGTATAATTTTGCACATGTACAATATGTGCACATTTTTTTGCGATTCCTTGGTGTCAGATTTTTTTTTTTTTTTTTTTTAATTCATCCCAATTTGAAGCATTACTTTAGCAATTGCGCGCACTGTTATGAGTGGCAAATCGTCTAAAGAGAGAAAAAAAAAAAAGAGGAAAAAAGGAAAAAGGGACAAATGGACGAGCGGGATAACAGACGAGGGACACAATACCCTTTTTTGCAACCACTTTGTTAGCAGCTGTAACTTCCTTTTTTGTATATATATCCCCAGGTCAAAAAAAAAAAAAAAAAAATCCGAGTGCTATTCATCACAGCAAGTAAGCACAGTTTATTTATGGCCCCTATGTGAAGGCATTTCCTGCAATAATTGCCACTGGCGCATTTTTGCTCGTAATTTTAACTCAACCTTAGAAGGAATAAAAAGCACACACTGCACAATTGCGTGGGCGCAAAAACATGCTCGATTCATTTAACATGTGCGAAGTAGTCCAAATGATAAGAAACACATTTTTACATAAACCAAGTGCGAACATTTTTTATATATACATTTGAAAAGGCAAGGAAACAAAATAAAAAAAAAACAAAAAAAAAAAAAAAGGAATATATTTCCGCATGCATTTATTATTGCCCTTTTTGTTGATATTCCCGTTTTCTGAGAACTTGCGTACGTATGTCCCCCGAGGGGGCATCCCTGCGATAGAACAATTTTTGTACATACAAAATGACCAACGTAGTTAGCTCGCTTCCGAATGAAGAAAAGGATGCGTGGCTAAATTTAAATGACATCAGACAAAAAGCAAAAAAGTACAACTGGCAAGAAAACCCTGGGAAGCAAAACAATTACATTTTTTCCAAAGACAATGTAAAGATATGCATCATAGGATTGAAGGGGCTAGTCACAATAGATATCCGATTGCTAAGCGGAGTCAATTACAAACTGTGCAAAAGCAATTTGAAGAAAGAGGAGATATATGATTTATTCTCAAGCACCAGCTTTTTTCATTATACAAATGATGTACTAGAGAAAACGGTTTTGTGCAACAGTTATGATTTAAGTGTAAAGGAAAAAATAGACCTTTTCAATAAAAATGATAAGTCATTTTTGCAAAGGATGAAATGCAAGAACCTATTTTTTCGCAATTGTGGAGGATCACATAGGTCAGGCAGTGAGAAGACCAAAGTGGGCACAACGAAGGTAAAAATCAGCGCAACGAATGGGGAGCGGAATGCGGAGCAGAAGGGGGAACATAATTCGATATACTTCCCTGAGAAGAAAGTGCAAGTTAAGTCGGCTGAATCAACCCAGACGGAGATTCAATCAGATGAAGAACAACAGGTACAAAAGGAAAATGCACACATTAAGAATAGCCTTTACGAAAATGCGCTCGATGTGACCCCATTAAGTAGTAAGGCCGTTAATAAGACAGTTCTCCTCTCCAAAGAGGAAGATAAGGGTAAGAAATGGGGTTTTAAAAAATTCTTCCTTTTTAAAAAACGTACTCGTGATAAAGTCAACGAAAATTCGAAAGGATGTCCAATCGAAGCAGGAGAAAATTCACAAATTGGGAAAAATTTACCCTGTGAAAATGACCATAGTGGAGAGGACCTCAAAGTTGGGGGAAAACAAGGGGGAGAAATTTGCCCAAACGGGATTGTCAACCCGAAGGTGGAAACAAACGGCCGCGATTATGGGGTAAAGAAAGGAGACGTAAAAGTAGAAAAAATTTCACCTCCTCATATACTGAGTAACCATACGAGCGAAATTGAAGAGGCAAAAAAGGTAAAAGTAGGTAATTCCCAACTGAGTACAGAGATGGATGCCAATGCAGACAGGGCTAATAAGACGAAGGGGAACAAACAAAATATGAATAACCATTTTGGTTGCAAACAGAAGTTGACACTCTCCCCAGTCAAGGAGAACAACGTGGTTACTCCAAATAACGATGCACTGGGCAAATTTAATTCAGAAGAAAAAATTTCCCTACGTTATGGTAGCACTAAAGGAAATAGCAAAGAATGCCTCGAACGGTGTGACACGCTAAGTACCAGCAGAGAGAACCATATGTCCAAGTCCTTCACCACACATTCTCTGAGTGAGGAAGACTTAAACAATGAAGCTATGAATAGAATGAGCGCTAGTGAGGAGGAAACGGCTAATTGCTGCAGCGGCAAGGGGCGCGAAAATGGCACCTCAAATGGACCCCCTTTACACGCAGACAACGCCCATGACACACATTTGGCGCTCAGCAACCAGGGGGGCGAAGAGTGTATAGAGGAACCATTTCCTCCCCATTCGGATGGCCACTCCGGCGATGATGTAATCGATGGGGAGGAATGCAACAATGGGGACCTTCTTGAGAAGGTGAATGATGAAGAGGGTAGTGCCATCGAATGCAAGGTGGCCTATCAACCGAGCAATCGTTACACCCAAAAGGCGAACACGGTTAACGTATACATACAACATAACACAATAGAGTACTATGGTCCGAAATATGGATACAGCAGGAAGACCAAGTCGAGGTGGGCGCGGAACGAAGGAGGCCTAAGCCATCTAAAGGGTTATCGCAGATCTGGAGAAAAATGGGGCAGTAACTGGGGTAGAAAGTGGGATAATCACTGGGACAATTGGGAAATTTGGGACTACGGTTGGGACCGTCGCTGGAACAAGTGGAGCGGGAAATACAATCAGTACACTCTGCCTTGGAAAAAAAGCTTCGTTCACGAACAAAGTTTCTCCCCTCGTAACTCCTATCACTTGGCCGTGCGGACAACCGGAAAAAACAATTACAGGGTTAAGAACAGCGCGTATTACAGCCCCAGGTGGACTACGCGCGCCCCGAAATATTACACAACAGATTCACGTAAGGTTTACAATAATGGTAGGGGCCAAATGGTAGGCTTGCACGAAGATGCAACCTATATCAATGCAGAAGAATTTAAGAAAAATGGCAAAAGTGATTATCCATTTTGGGGTGTACAAAAAAGCAAAGGTGCTCACCACTTTTATAATAAAAGCGGTTTTTATATATCACAAAATAGGAACAATTATGCGCGTAGAAAATACAATGAAAGCAAACCAAGTGATGCGTTTAAGCCATATGAACCGCACAAAAATGTAAACGAACTTGAGAAGGAAATATACAAGAAGCTGTCCTATTTAAAGCACTTCAAGCATGACCATACCAAATCGATCCCCAGATATTATTGCACCTTTAGACATTTGCTTATCCCATCCAGGACCAGAAAACAACCCATGTGGTTACAAAATATGATTGCTACGAATACATGTGGTTACTGTGATAAGCAATTTTCCAGTTTGAAGAGTCTTGAAAATCATTTCGTTCATGTGAAAACACATAGAATATATTACTGCTGTGGGAAGCCTTTCACTTCTTTGAAGTTTTTATATATTCACCTCAAGCAGGATAACCACTATGGATACATTTACTATTACTAAGGAGGTATCGGGGAGGCTTACTTCCACGATAGCAATGACATGGTCCCCGTGTCAAGTTCCCCTTGTGTTTTTTTCTGCATAGCAATCTATGTACACAGGGCAAACCCGCTTTATTGTACTACACTATAATCCGTTTTTTTTTTTTTTTTTTTTGTCTTGTTTGAATATCATATTGATATTCTGTGTATGATCTGACATGTATATTCTTCTACATTTCTTTTTTATAGGCCTATGATAGTGTAAATTTTTGGAATAAAACACTTTTTTTTTTTTTTTTCCTGCATTAGTGTTTTTCCCTGAATCCAATCGTTCTGCAGTTTTTCGCATCTTTTTTTTTTTTTTTTTTTGTTCCCCCATTTGGGTGTTGTAAAAATATAAAGGCAACTTTATATGGGGCCACTTTTTTTTAAAAGACCGAAAGGCGCACCCATGGGAAGTTCAAAAGAGAGTCTCTTACACAAAAATGCAAAGTTTATTTTTCGTTCGCATACGGAATATATGATCTGCCGAAAATTGCACCATGAGGAATATAGCGATGCAATAGTGATATGAGAAAGACAAAAATCCAAATAAAAATCAGAAACGGTTTGTTACACCTAGGACAATAGGGAAACTCTTTTTTTTTTTTTTTTGTTGTTAAAGCAAAGTCTAGTATTACAACTGCTGTTCTTGGGCGTGCACAAAGTGAAGAGTTTCTTTTTCTTGTGCCACAAAAATTTGTTCCCATAGGTTGACGGTGAAATGAAAAAAAAAAAAAAAAAAAATAATAAATTAATATAATAATAAAATAGCAAAATATCAGAATAATAAAAGAAGCCATTACAAAGCAGGAATAAAAATTAATACGGAAAAATGTTGATATTTTTTCTGTGCCCAGTGAAGGAGGTTATCCGGATGAATGTATTTTTCCCTGCGGACTGTGAAAACAAGTTCATCCTTACGAATTAACCAAACGGCAATTTTGAGAACACATTTGTAACTCCCTTCCAGTAACAATTACCATGTCGAATGAATGTAAGAAATCGTAAGTCAGAACAATCTCATTTGCTCTTTTTTATGCAACGCAGTTTGCATACCTGCTAGAACATGGAATATGTCACGTGCTTCACGGCATCATATAGGGCGACTGTTTAACCCAATTTTAACGCAACTTAAACTTACAATTGTTTTAGTGGAGAAGAACTTTTTTCTTTCCTTCCCTGGCCGAGACATTAAACATATAGGACGAAAACACCCTTTGTGAATGTACCAGCGTGTATGCGAAAAATTTTCCGCCCCAAGTGGAACAACTCTGTATACTGCATGTGGAGAGGAAATTACAAAAATGTTTCCCTAAATTGGCGTAAGAATCATTTTCCCTTCAACCTTCTAAATATCAGCTGAAGAAATCATTTTTTTTTTTTTTTTCCTTTTCTTTGATGCCCTCTTTTAAGATTTAAATGTACTAGTTTATCTATCCTGCAACAGATTTATTGGATTTACCTCCCCGCCCTTTATACATTTTATATGAAATTTATTATGGGCGTGAGATGTGCATCGAATTGTCTGCTCATCCAAGAAAGGTCACAAATGCGATAAAGCTCCAATGCGGATATCTTTACGCTTGCACCTTTTTGGAGAGACCAACATTATGTGAAATTTTTCGTGTGAAAGGAAACTACACGATCTCGTCACGCATGTATGTACGTAGATGCAAACTCGCACGTACATACGCACAACCCTGTGTTATGTCAACTGCACTGCTATACCATCAGACGAATTAGCATTGTACTTCAACGTCTTAAACATAAAACGGCACACATAGAACTATGAACAGCAGAGGTGCCACAGGGAATAAGTTTGCAGGGGGCCCTAACTCTTTTGAAAATAACGACAATAAAGAAAATCATCTGAAGGAAGTGGTGACTCCATTAGGGGATGTATATATACTCAATGAAAAAACCAATGAGAAATTTATTAAGGGCACCCAGAGGAGTGACGGAACGTTTAGGAAAACGATCCGCGTGAGGACGGACTATATGCCGCAGGTGAGTACCTGTGTGGGGTTCTTTCCACCTCACAACAACGCATAACCATTTGCGCGAATAAAAAAAAAAAACCCACTTGCATGTTAATATCCCTCACTTTTCCCCTTCCCCCATGGCAGGAGGAAAACTGCGCATATCAAGTGAAGGGGAAAATACTAGAGCAGCAGAACATGAGTAGGATTGCAAGCTCCACGACGAAGACCTATGCAAGCGAGAATCCTTTCGACAGCAGTGAAGCAAGCACAAAAAAGGTGATCACAAATAGCGCTCTGAAGAATTTGGCAAATAAAAGCGCAGTAAAAAAAGTGCCCGGCTGGAACCCCATTAATGACAATGAAAATGAAAACGAAAATCAAAACGCAAAGAATTTAAAAAAGAAGAAAAAGAAGAAAAAAAAAAAAAAGAC